AGCCACATCAGACCGAGAGGATCGTTTTGAAGATACCAATTTCTTTTCCCGTTCAAGACAAACACAAGAACAGGAATGAGACTCTTGAACGTGTTGAGGACATCAGAGGGGAAGATGATAGAGGCGTTCATTTGGAGCAACCGGCCGAGGATGAGGACCCCGATCCCACTCTCTTTCTGAATATAGATCAGGGACAGCTTGATGAAGTCGAGGAGATCGCTGGGATCGCGCATGACGAGAAAGGAGAGGACGTCGAAGTCGTCGAGCCGGGGAGCACGGAAGACAAAGACGCTGTTGTTGATGTCGCTGACCTACCCCATGCATCAACAGGGAAAGCAAAAGATGGTATCATTTATAGGAACGACCTTGGCAAAACGGTCAAGCTTGATGCTCGTGGGAGACCTTATCCAGTCGGTGCAGATGGGTTCAGGACGATGAAGACAGCACGACCAAGTCATGACCACACCCTGTGTCCATCAGCCGTTTTACTCCCTTGCATGGGTTCGCAGACAGGGCGAATGGACTGATGAATTGTCCGTGCTTCCTTTTCCATTGCACGACTCCTTCCGAAATCTCGTCATCCTCCTTGTCATATTCGAAAGTGAAGGTTCGCTCCTTGTTCGTTGGCATTTTGTGAGTACGATATATGTGATTGACCGCCTCGCTCATGTTCTCGGCTCTGATGAGTGCCTTCTTGTGACTATATGCAAGGTGTCGTCGATGATCATATGTCTAACGTCTTGGCGTCGACTGGTTTCGAGGATGATTAAGACATGCCCTCATAGAACCCTTTGTACCACATCGAGTTGTTCCGCCACTGCTCGTCCTCATTCTTCAGGCACTCCACCTCTTCGCTCACGTCATTCTCAAGAATCTCTTGGAACCATACGTACTTCTCGGGTATCTCAGTCTCACCTGACCACCGCGAAGATTCACTCATGGCGTCTTCGGCATCACGATCGTGATACACGGTCTCGACCTCGGCTTCACTCTCCTCAGTGTGCGTGTCGCTCTTTTTGGCTTCCGAAGTCGCGGCTCTCTTGCGGGCATTGCGATGTGAACCTTTCTCACATGCTGCTTTGGGCTTGGCTTGTGCCTTGGCCTGTTGTTTGGCGTTAGGCGCAGGAGCGGATGCTTTGGGGTTTGCTGGTTCAGCGTGCTTGTATTTGCATTGACCCCCTTTCGTGCACTTTCCTTCTCTCCATGCATAGCAGACCCCGTCCCTCTTCGATGAAGGAGTCCTTGCTGCTTTGCCGCCGCCTTTGCCCTTTCCTTTATCATTGTCCAATTTGTGCTTGCGCTTGGGGTTGTGGGAATATGGACAATCCTTTCCTTTGAGACATCCTCCTTAATTCTTTTGTGTAATGGAAGACGCACGGTCATTCCTTCTTCTGTCCGGGGCTCATGCTTTTCCCCTTTCCTTTTCCTTTGCCCTTCTTGTCGTGGTCTTTCGCTTTTGCTTTGGGTAGCACTGTTGCTGCTGCGTTTCCATCATCTTCCTTCCCGGAATTCCCTCCTTTCCCTTTTCCCTTCTTCTTTTCTGCTGGCGCCGCATTCTTGTTGCCGCTCAGCAAGTTCTTGACTGACTTCTCCTTCATGTCGTAGACGTAGTCCTCGCGATCAGTCCGAAGTTGTCGATCAATCAATCTTAAAAGGAAACGGTAGGTCTTCTCGGGGTGTGCATCCGGTAACCGCGCATAGGTATTGAAACCAAATTCCAGCTTCCTGCTTCCTTTGATCTTGTGATATAGGATGTCCCGGAGCGTGATTTCTCTGGGTGCATCCTCCTTCCTCAGTTTGTTCTTGTCCCCGACGTATTCCAGTCTGATCAAATGCTTGATGGTGAAAACCATGTCTGCTTGATCTGAAAGATTGTAGTACGATGGCAATGATCTCTCTTCCCTTGATCATTATGTTCTCTCTTTGGCGTCGTTCGGCGTGCAGCTGAATATCGTGCACCACGTCCTTCGCATCATCAGGCGCGCTTCTGAGCATCGTCTGGAGCGATAGGGCTAGTTTGATATCCATCATTGCAAATCGTTCGCCTCCCAAATCGGGCTAAGAAATCAAGGTCAGGATTTACCACGAAAGCACATGCCAACCATGGTACGTTGACTTTCTCAGCCTCCTTCCGTGATATCCTTGGTCTCCTTCTTCGTGATGATCTTCTGTTGCGACCTTCTTCGTCGTCCTCGTCTCCATCATCATCGTCGTCAGGTGGATCAGGTGGACTTGGTCCTCCTGCTGCGGCTGGGACAGGAGCACGTCCTAGACCCCCCGCGTTTCCATTTGTGTTGTGACATATAACCAAGACCAGGTGGACCGTCATCTCCGTGACCACCACCACCTCCATTATTGCCGGTTGAACCAAATCTCATTTTTGGAATAGATCCTACCGCTTCATGGAGTTGGTCAATATGAGCCTGTGTCATTGGGTCTTGGCAAACAGGAAACAAGACAGAACGCGGTCCCAGGCTATAATCAATTGGCTTTGGAACATTGGGTACCTGCACATTAGAACTAGAAGCCGCCACAGTAGCCTGATAGAGCATTACCTGGCCTTGTTGTTGAGGCCCATTTGTGGTATCACTCTTGCGGGTCTTCAAATTCTGGCGCTTACCGGCCCTAACAGTATCATCCCTCAGTAGAGCTCGTCCACGATCATTTGCGTCCGCCGCAATGATGCTTGCTTTGGATGGCGTTCTCGCTTTCGAGTTCCTTGTTCGTCTCAGCCAGCTGATATACAAAGCTCTCTTGGATCTTGAGCTCTCGTCGTGTCTCTTCGATCTCTTCAGACTTTGCAGCGATCTGACTGAGGTAATCGGATTGCGCATCATTGACCTTTTGTCTTGATGCGGCGAGTTCACGAGTCACGTCGACGAACTCTCGATCCCTCAGCGCGGCGCGATTGTGTAACGCATTTCCTTGATGAGCTCGATCTCTAGCGATCTTGATCTCCTCATTCATCTTTGCGTCACGTTCCTGCACTGCGCGTTGTCCGATCAGATACATCTCATCCCGCTCGCTCACGGCAACCCGTGCGCAATGGGCGTCTTGTTCAGCGTACCTGATAGCATCATTTGCTTTGCTCACCAATGTACCTTGTGGCTCGTCATCAATCGCCATTGCTGGTTGCGGCAGCAGTGCTGTTTCCAACCTCTCACGCAAACCACGAATAGTGTTCTCCTCGTTCTGCGAGTCCGTAGTAATCTTCACCTGATACGAGTTGATCATCGGTTGATACTGTGCGGCTTCGGAAGAAGCACTTCTCCTCTCTTGTTCAGCCTTGTTTTTGCTAGCCAATGAGCTTTCCTCCACGGTTGCGGCCATCTCTTGGTGTCGCTTCTCGTACTCGAGGACCTTGGCTTCATCTTGATACACTCCGTAGATCTTCACGAGATGTTTTGCCTAATCTTCGGAAAGTTTTGTCTTCCCACGTTGAATGTCAATGTATTGAGCAGCTTCTCGAAGTTCGTCGGATCTTTTGAGGATATGGGCAACTTGTTGTTCCGACACGCCTGCTCTCCGTTCCAGTTCCTGAATGAGCGTGACATTGCCTTGGTCGTCGCGTTCATATGACTCCTGAAACATGGCCAAACGGCGCTTAGCCTCTTCCTTTGAGGGTCTCCTGAGCGATCTTTGACGGACTGGAGCCTGTAGGCCACTTCGATCGCCCTTTTTCCTTTCTCACAGGACTCTCCTTCTCGGTGTCGATAATGAAGCTGATCTCTTCTTTTCTCCGTCCTTGGACCACACAGCATGACCAACTTCTTTCCAGGATGAGTGTGATTGGTCGTGGCTAATACCAGAACTTGCACTTTGTTGAGTGTCCGGAGAGTCCGCGATTGCCGGCACGGCAAGCATACCTGTGGAACCGCTGGAACTGTCATTACCAAAAGGTTGCCGTTCCTGGGCTCCCGGAAGAATCCAGCGCACGGCTGCAAGTTTGCTTTCAAAAGGTTGTGAGTTGTGTTGCATCGCAATTGCAATCCACCGCTGGGACCAATTGCAAGCTTACGGCTGATAACCTGCCAAGGAGGCGAGTCAACCACGTAGTCAATGACAAGGCAGTTGGGGTTCGAATCCCGTGGGGTGACCAATACCCTCGACAATGGAGTCGTATAGTAGTGGTCGTTGTAAAAGGGGGTTGTAAGGTAAATGATCTGCGCTATCTCACGACCCGATGCGACGTGCTTCACAGCTGTATACTGGATGTTTGCCTTGAATGCAAAAAAAGGTCTTGAGCCAAATGCAGTCGCATGTACATGTCGGCTGCACGCAAAACACCATTTCCCCCAGAGGTTTGAGGGACCTTAAAAGAGGGGATAGAACCGGGTGACCCTCAGAACCTGCCCTTAGGATGTTTTAGCCTGCGGCTCGGAGATTCTTAGCACTACTTGACATTTGCTTGAAATCCTCTTGAGAAGGATACCCTATTTCATTGCAAACTGAAATTTGAAGTTCTACTAGAATGTGCTCCTTGTTTATGTCCACACAAATGTTCCCGGGAAAGGGCATCACCTGTAAAATCTGGATTGAAATCATAATCATAATTAAACTCCAAATGAAAACATCTCTAAAAGGAAACGCTGCCTAAGTTCTGTTAAGACTGGAAAGTATACTGGAATTCTGTCCATGTACACTCTATGATTAAAAGATTGAACGGCTGATCCTGGGAAAGGAAACCACATTAAAAATCTAATTTGAAAGACTATGCCTACTCAAAACCTAATTTAAGCAAGGAAGTCATATTTACATTCCAATTGAAACCAGAATTTCTACTAGAATCCTGTCCTCATCAGGTGTTCATTCAAAACCAAAAAACTGCATGGCAACGGCTCAGAATTCCTGAAGCAGCGTATTCAGATGATTCACACCAAAGTGGATGCAGTATGTTCACATCAGGATTGATAGGAGGCGGTGTTGACATGCTAGTATCATTGAAAAGCCTGTAGAAACAGGCATCTAACTCAACGGACATGCTGACACTCACAAATTGCCTCTGCACTGCAGGAACTCGGCCGAGATCGACTGCAGTTGCGCTTGCAAATCCTTGATCTGATGGTCTGTGCTCTGCTCCCACTGGTGAACCAAGTCCAGGCAAAAGACCAGCTGAAGCATGCCACCCAAGACCTCCGGGTTCTTTGCATACATTGCCTTGGCCAGCTTAGACCCTCTGCCTCACACGCTTTCTGCAATGCACAAGTCTCAACAATTAGATTGGAACACTTTTGGAACCCTCTGCAAAGTCCACTTTCATGCGAAGGCCGGGCTGCCGCGTGCTCCACAGTACTTTCCTGGACCTGGCGCAAATCCACGCCCAAACGGCACTCGGTGGCTGCCAGCTCCTGCCATTTTGCTGTCCAACATCTTGGAAGTAAACCGATCGCATCTTTTGATCTTCTCATCTTCGCATCCTCTCACTTCTTGCACAAGAAGATGATGAATCTCAACCGACCAAGCTCTCTCAACGTCCGCTCCGTCTTACGTGCTGCACGCAAAAGGCAACTTCTGAAGCACCATGACTTGTCTGATTTATCGTTCGATCCAAACCTGGAAAGGGATGCAGAACACGGACACAAAAAGAAAGCAAAGAGAACACAACTAACAAAGCAAGTTGATTTTCAAAAAAAAAGGAATGAAGAATATTTTTCCACTGTTCTCATTGGCAAAATGGCGAACTTCCACACTCCTGCTGCAGCAGCGCCAGCGCCTCAGTGGCGCGCTGCGCGCGGCGCGCGCCCTCCCCAAGCTGCCGCAGCGCCGCCGCCGCCCGCCGCCGCTCCATCCGAGCTCGACCCGCCCGAGTCGCAAGTCGCGAGCGCAACACTCCGTGAGTCGTGTCATGTAAAAAACGAAGAACTCTCAAAAAATATCTCAACTGCAAAAAAGGAGCTTTTGGTTGGGAAGCATAGAACAACGGAAACGTAGGTTGGAAAGATATGCGTGAAATGAATGGACGATTCACTGGGAATGCCACGGTTGAAAATGGTTGTGGACAGGACCTGTGGAGAAGTATGAAACATGTGTGGGTTGATGGAAGTCATGCATAGCCCTACACATGTAGTCAAAACCTTGTGCAGTCGAATGGCTCAAGCTTCTCTTGAGCTCGGGCGTCCCGAGTTGGCAATTCTTGGCACAAGGCGAATTGGCAAACATAAGTTCGTCTTTTTGCGGAAAAGCTCGCAATGGAGTCCAAAGCGTTAGATGCGGCGTGCCAATCTTGGGCGGCTGCCTACGAGGAACCAGACCGCGCTGGCAAGTGCTGCGCGCAGGACTCCTGCCTCCATAGGCAATAGTGCTCCTCACATACGCTTTGGATACCTTGGGGCAAACGCACTGTTCCAAGTTTGACCCTGTCCGCTGCCCCGCTTCTTCTTCTTCCTCTTCTTCTGCTTCCTTTTCTACGCAGCCTCGCCTGAATGCCGCTGTTGCGCACTGTCGCGATGATGCCTCCCAGTGAGTTTGGCCTTGGATCATCAACGCTGTCACAGTTGGATTCTTCACTTTGCTATGCTTTCTGCTGAGCTCCCAACATGCCTTTCACTTGCAGTTCAATGGACTCAACACCCAGCTTGTCTGCCACGAACAAGCAAGCCTCTCAGCGCTTCGGCGCATGGCCGTGAGAGGAAGAGTGTTTCAATTTCAATGGTTCTCTGCCCTCTTCAGCCCCGACCGTTGACTGAGGCAGCTAATCTCTAAGGAGAAGATACCCATTTTGAAAGCAGTCTCGGTGGCCCTGGATCTGCTTCAGGTAAAAACCTGCTAATCGCAACCAGAAGTTGACACCTTATCGTGTCGGAACGATTTTTGAAAAACAGGGACGGATGTGTCCTAGTGAAAGTATCGACTCACCCGCTTTAGAAAAGATATTCTTGTAGGCGATGAACTGATCTTGTTAGGATGTCGACGGGTTGGTGTATCGTCGTGCCATGGGTGGTTGCAAGTACCTGATCTGTTGCTTGAGGAAGAAGATCATATCTTGTGGCTGTCAGGGCCACCGCTTGTTGTACTAGTGGCCCTTGCTGTAGCAACTCTCGGATGGGCACCCCTCATTCCATTGCTATACCCTTTCCATCCGCAATAACTGTCGGTCTTGTTGTAGTCCTGCGTGTGGCAGCACGACTCCTTCTAGCTTCGATTGTTGATCTTCTGTTCACACTTGCTCTTCACGCAGACCATGAAGGGCGCAAGCCAGTCGCTACCGTCCCTGCTTTCACGAGCATTTTAGTGTTGATGCGCTTGAAGCGTTGCAAGATACCTGATAGTGGACGATGACCACGCTTGCGTTATCTTCGAACTCCGGTCTGTGGCCCTCATCAAAGTTCTCTTCTTGCTGATCAGTGTCTTACCCCAGCCAAGACATGACCCACCATGCAGTCAGGAAAGGTCCTGTCATAACTTCACCCCTTCTTGGTGAGTACGACACGGCGAATAATTTCCTTGATGTTTGCCTGAGTCTCATGCATGGCCAAGCACAATGGTCAGCACGGATTTTAAAAAAATAAGCTCAGGCGATATCCCCAACAGCACCACACAGAATCCTCGCGGAACGCCCCGCGACCGGTTTTGCTGAGGATGCCGCGTTGTAACTTTGTAAAGAGTGACAGCGCAATCGCGCCCTGATCGGGGCCCGAGGGCGCAATCGGGGCCCGATGGGATGGGGGCCCGACTGCGCAATCGGGGCTCGCGGGGCCCGACGATGGTCCCGTGGTGCAAGCGGGCTCCCACCAACCCCAGCCACATGTTATGGCTCAACGCCGGTTTTTTGTATCCAGCAAAACATGCCAGCTTGGTACAGTTCACGCGGCCCGGCTGAGTCCGGCCCCGATCAGGGCCCGACGGCGCAATCGGGCCCTGACGGTGCAATCGGGCACCGACGGCGCATCGCCCGACCTGTGCCCGGTGATCCTCGCAAACCGTCCTCGTGGAACTCAGCGTGAAACTTTGTTGGAACCTTTCCTCAGGGCTGCCCCATAGCTGTTGCAGAACGTGGTGGAAACCTCGTGGAGCGTTTTTGGAACCCAAAGCCCAAGTAGTACTCAGTAATGCCAAGCATTTACTCTGCTGCGCAGTGAGAGTCCCGCAGCAACGTGATCTGATTTGCAACAAAGCCAACATTTCAGGCCGCATTGCCTGAAGAAGTGAGCAAGTCACAACACATTGAAAGTGTGCTGAGAACCATGAACTTTGGTTTTGCTTTGTGTTCCGCCCATGAGCAAGGCGATCTTCTGAGCAGACGGGCGCACGACACATTGTTTTTCTTTAGGGCAAGCCATGCAACCTTGCGGAACCTTTGTGGAAGCTTTTGGAGGCTTGTGGAACCCTTGTAGAATCCTCGCAGAACTCTGTGGAACCCTTTGAAACCTTACCTCGCCCCGGACATCCCACACCCCTCGCAGAACCTCGACCACCCCGCAGCCCTTGCAGAACCTGGTGCAACAATGGTGGAACCCTGGTTGAAGCTGTGGAACCTTCTCAAACCACCCCGGACCACCCCGCAGCCCTCGCAGAACCTGGTGGAACACTGGTGGAACCCTGGTGGAGAACCCTTGTGGAGCCTTACCTCAAACCACCCCGGACCACCCCGCAGCCCTCGCAGAATTTGGTGGAACCCTTGCGGAATTACCTCAAACCACCCTTGCAGAACCTGGTAAAACCCTGGTGCAACTGTCGTGGAACCTTACCTCAAACCACCCCGGACCACCCCACAGCCCTCGCAGAACCTGGTGGAATTCTGGTGGAACCCTCGTGAAACCTTGCCTCAAACCACCCCGCAGCCCTGGGAACCCTGATGGAACCTTCGTGGCACCTGACCTCAAACCACCCCGGAGCCCCCACAGCCCTCGCACAACCTGGTGGAACCCTGGTAAAACCCTCGTAGAACCCTCGTAACCTTGCCTCAAACCACCCCGGACCACCCCGCAGCGCTCGCAGAAAAACCACCCCTGCAGAACCTGGTGGAACTCTGGTGGAACCCTCGTGGAACATTACCCCAAACACCCCAGACCATCCCGTAGCCCTCGCAGAACCTTGTGGAAGCCTGGTGGAACCTTACCTCAAATCCCCCCGGACCACCCCGCAGCCCCTGCAGAGGCGGAACCTTGGTGGAACCTTCGTGGCACCTGACCTCAAACCACCCCGGACCCCCCACAGCCCTTGCACAACCTGGAACACTGGTAGAACCCTCGTGGAACTTTACCTCAAACCACCCGCAGCCCTCGCAGAACCCAGTGGAACGCTTGGAACCCTCGTGGAACCTTACCTCTCCCGCGCCCTTGCAGAACCTGGTGGAACCCTGGTGGAACCTTTGCGGAACCCTCAGACCACCCCGGACCACTCTCAGCCCTCGCAGAACCTGGTGGAACCCTGGTGGAACCCTCGTCAACCTTGCCTCAAACCACCCCAGACCACCCCGAACCTGGTGGAACGCTCGTGGAACCCTTGTGGAACCTTACCTCAGGGCCGCCCCGGACCACCCCGGACCCTATCTGGGCTGAGACCCCAAAGCTTTCAGCTGTTGGGGAAAAAACAAAACTCATGGAAAATAGTCTCACCCAATATGCGAACGTGTGTTCTGGTAGCCCGACACCTGCGCCGGCAACGATGTCCGGACAATGCGCGGTTGCCTACAAGAACTGCCCTGATCAACTCATGTGCTTTAGTCGCAGAGGTCAAGGAGACCGTCGGACACGTCAACAGCAACCGCTGGAAAATCACACAACTAAAGAACTCCAAGGAGTTCATGCGTCAAAGAGCCGAGCACTGTTCGCAACATCCAGTTACTCAAAGACAAGGCCGAATCAACAGAAGGCGGATCACAACCACGACAATCACGCCCTGAGGAAGGTTGTGACTGGTTGGCTTCAAGCAATGAAGCTTGGTGTCTACGCGCCGAAATCTACATCGTTCCAGGTGATCTGTGAATGTGACAGGAGCTGCCTCATGGACAAGAGAGTCCATCTTGGACTTTTTGCGTTCTCTGTTCGGGTCAATTGACACCTTGCGATAATCACGCCGGCCTTTTGAACGCAGCAATGCCTAAAGTGGGCGCTTCCTGCAAGTGCTTCAAGCGCATGGGTCTTGCCCTTAGTCACACAGTTCCAATTGGCGGACTGTCACTCCCCTGCACAAAAAAGTCTTGCGGGGAGCTGGAGCCGGATCATCCCTTAAGATCTTCAAGAGGCGCACGAACTACTTCAGCAAGCATCCGCATCAGCCTTGAGAGGCAACACCAAAGTCAGGGCAGTCGCACAAAGCTTGCCCAGGCACACCCTTTTTCGTTCTGTCAAGAAGTGGCGTTGACCCAGGAAAAGGCGATCGTTCCTATCTTCTGAGCCAACTTGGAAGCCCTTTCGCAGTCGGCCAACGCTTTCCTTTTCAAACACATCGTCACCAACCACAAGAGCCATCAACATGAAGAGAGAGCTCCATGACTTGTTTGCATAACATAACAACGAATCCTTTGAGGATAATATTATTTGATGATGTCTTTCACTGATCGGCGCTGATTAGTATACATATGTACCCCGGTCTGCTCTTGTCGGCGCAAGTCCATGAGACCGGAGTGCCGGTGGAAACCTCTCAAGGCCCAACAAGCCTTGGTTGTCAGGAAATTACAATCCTTATCTACGCCGAGGGCCCAATGACCGCCAACCCGGTTCTTGACCTGGATCTTCCCAATGTCAACAAGATCAAACACCTCATTGTCCAGCCATGATTTACACTTGAGCAGCTTTACTTCTAGGAGTTCCTTCTGAGAAGCTCTTACTTCAATCGCCGCGGCTTCTTTCCGCCTTTCCCGCTGAGGGCTGATGTTGTAGAAGCTTTGAGTGACTCTTGGCGCGCAGACTACCAAACTAGAAGCGCTCTGTCATCATCCGTCATGCTTGCATGGATGATCCACACGCAAGTCTGGGAATCTCTGATGAGGGAACCCACCTGAGAAGTCGGCTTGAAAGGTGTTAGCACAGACTTTCTCATCGGCGGAATGCGCCTCATCAGTCGCAAGGTCGGCGACCTGACCATTGTAAACTCTTGTCCCTCAGGGTCATCTGATCCTTCGTCTTCCTTATCAGAAAGCTCCCCTGAGAACTTCCAGCGCTGGATGATGTCGGAACATGAGGAACGAGTTCTTCTTCATCACCGCCAGAGTCAATCTGACTTCTTCCCATTTTTCTGCTTGTTCGAGGGGCTGCTTTGTCAAAGTTCTTGCGGTTCTGCTGGCTCGAGATACTCAAGATTGGACAGTTCAAGCTCTTTGTCATCGTGTTCTTTCTGTGGAATACGCAAAGCCACTAGACATAATGGCGCCGCAACACACCTTGAGGCGGAAATTGACTGTTCTTGTGTCTAGGCTGTGTTGGGTAAGGCGTGGGTTGGCTGGGAGAGTCTGACGGCAAGGTCTTGTTTACGAGGCGGATCTGATGGGGCCACCATCAACGTAGCTGTCGGGGTGTGCGCCGCAAGGGCAGGGTTCTGTGGGACTGTAGTGGGGCTTAGAGTAGGTGCGGGTAGTGGTGTGAGAGGCCTGAGATCGGACTGTTTTGCTGGCGCCTTCGTCCATACAATGTGAACTGATGAACACTTGATTCGTACGCCCTTGTCCTGAATTAAACTCATCAGTCTTACTTGTGCGGGGCGTTGGCCAGCTGATCTGGCTGCCGCAAGAAGATGCACGCATCACCAGTCAACATACGCCGTGCGTTTCCCATATTGCGCGGATGGCGCACAAAGGGTTTCGAGTTTCATACAGCCATTCCACAGTTGATCGGTTGCGCATCACTTGGACCTTGGCGAAAAAGATTAATTTTTGTGCCTGGCGCGAACTGCCTCATTGTTGTCTGAAGCTTCTGGACAAACGAGTAGGCTGGGACATGTTACAGCCACCCGCTGCTGCTCCAGAAGGTACACCTCATTGTCAAGCGGCTTCGTAACGCAACATCACTCGTGCAAGGTCCGGGCAGAACTGAGAAGGATACACCTGCGTGCTTTGGTGTCAGTGCACGGTCTTTGGCATAGGTGCGTCTGGTGTTGCCGGGCTTGGTTGCGGTGGCTGTGGCGTCTGTAGCGTGTCCTGATCCGCTGGTCGCCTGGCACAGACGTACCGAAGCCGTCGCGCGCCACTATGTGTGGCCTTGCAGAAACTGCTTCGTGGCCTTCTGCCTTCAAACTCATGAACTCGGTAAGTTCTGAATTGGACACGCGCGCTGGCGCTCATCATATTGTACTCTGCAAGTGTCTTGATCACGTCAAACCTCTGCGATGTCACTGTTTGAGAATGGGCATCCAGTCGAGGAAAGATGAGAAGCACGATTAGCACATCACCACCACAATGTTGCCGTTGATGAACTTCAGGAAATCACCTGCGCAGTACCTTGAAGGGTGACACTCCTTCAAACCCCGCAGACGCATACTGCATGCAGAAGCATATTGGGTCAGATAAGCTGGATGCAATCGCGAACTCAGTATCACGCCTCTTGCTGCGCGTCCCGGGCAGCGTGACCGACCATTGCTGGCGTTCGTGCCTCAATAAGACCCTCGCTGGCCGCCTCGTGGAAAGGCAAGAACTGCTGATTGCCCTGACGCATCCTCTCGTAACAATCAGCACAAGTACTCGCAAAGGCGCACAGACCTTCGCCAAGAACTCGAAAAACTCTTTGAGCTGTGCATCTCTGTTTCTTCGAAGTCTCTGGTCATCTGGTCAAACGCTACAGGTGCAATTTGCTGCCACACACATCAGAACTGATGCGAACAACCTTGTAACAACAGCCTCAACAACACATCAGCCTGGACAGAACGAGACAGTGCACTTCGGACAGATGCATGACCTTGCGCATGTGTGAAGCGAAAGAAACACTGAGCTCAAGCAGATGGAGTGATCTAGGCAATCCGCACTGGCAACCTCGTAAACGTTGAATATGGCAGAAAAAGGCATTTCTTGTAGAATGGCTCGCACACATGTTCGCACGATTGGTCAACGCGTGAGATTACGTTGAATGAGTTTGCGCTCCACGAGCGCTGACAGCTTTTCTTGACCATGAATGAAACTCAAGAACTTCGCGCCCGTGCCCGCAGCCACTTTGACGATTCAAACCATTCGGCTTTCACAATCTTGTATGCAATTTTGCTACAACGACATCCCGAATTTCTCGCACAGAGTCAGAAACGCAATCGGCATGAAACAAACAGACTGGACCACAATGGCTTCGACTCTGAAACAAGAAGCAGTCGACCCTCAGATTGCAGATGTGAACTACATACAGACCTGAGAAGAGGAACCCGATTATTGTCCGCTCCACCTAAGGGACGAAAAGGAAGACTACAAATACTACACGGACAGTTCTGCAGCCATCAGCCGGAGGCCAGGTACCCCGTTCGACAACCTCGTGGTGGCCAACAACTTTGCTCGTACGACAGTGAGAGGAAACGGAGATTCTGCAACATGTTCTTCAATCGAGCCAAACGAAACGGCCCAGAACCGACGACACAATCGATTCGGCTCAGACATCCACAGCCCAGCTCAACATCCTCACCTTGAACCGTCTAGACGCTGGACAAGTACTATGCTTCCAAGAAGCTGATGGAATCACCAATCCCATTGTTCAGCAATTAAATAATCCGGGGCTGGCTATACCGGCATTGCGCGAACCCAGGAGGACGCAAAGAACTTATCCACAGGCATGGTTTCACAAAATCCTTGGTCTTGGTGATGTCTGCAGCAAACTTCAGAGTTTGGTATGGATTGCTTTCCGAATCCGAGAACACCAAGGTCGCACTGGACAGAACCAGACCAGGAGTTCCGATTCCTGCGCAACACACCCGTGAAAACAAGACCGTTGGGACTAAATTCAAGGATGTCATCAATCATCAGTATTAGTGCAATGACCCTGGCTGGGAATTGCTCCAGACGGCCAACGAGAATTTCTCTACTCGGACACCGGAAACCGCAAGAATCGATAGGGTGAGTACATCCAAACCCAAGTTGATAGAGCCGGACCACCGTTCTTAACGACTACAAGCGCAACGCCACAAAATCCCACCGCAGTCATTGCAAACATGACACGGTTGATAAATCGTGGATTGAAGAACATGGTAGACATTGTCACTGGAGATGCAAACTCCGCGCGCAGCAAGATAAACAAGAAACAACTGGCCAAACATCTGCAAGTATCAGCCCTCCACGTGGTGATGGAAGGGAACGTGGAATGTTTCAATAGCGCCCAGTCGACTCCAATGGGCCATATCCTGAACCAAGGAGAGTATTGAGATGGACAGCTTCTACGGTGTCCTAGATTGCCTGGCACCCTATGTGTTTCATTGGGCCAAGAGCGAACTCGTAGATCAAGATCAAGATCCTGCCGCAGATTCCATGGGGAACATGTTTCCCGACCACATGGTCAACTCCGGAGAACGATGCAAGCTCCTCACACGTGAACAGCCCATGCTGAGAAGTGCAGACAAGGACTGGCGCCATGGCCAACATGATTCCATGAACGAAGGCTTCAAAAGGTCCGAGGAGAAACTGAAACGCAAGAGACAACAAGACCAAGAACGTGGATATTCCACAGCTGAAGAGTATCCCACGGACCATATGGATCGCTCTGCCATCTTGATGGCACAATGGTGAAAAGGCATTTCCATTCCTCTTTGCTCCGGACATTCCGGAATTTGTCGGGATTCTAGGAGTAGTCATTGTCTATCAGTTCTCAGTCGTGTACATATTCAGAAGTTTCGATCCGAGTGCATATCAACACAGACTTCAGATGCGCTCGTGTAAGAATAGCGCCTCTTTGCTTCATCGGAACAACTGAGCAACTTAGATGGCTGCGGCAAAGACTTTCGAACGCGCTGTCACTGCACCATTAGGGCCGAGTGATAAAATCACTCTGTGGCAGTATTCTTTAAGGAATTCATGACGCCATGAGTCGAAAGAAATTTGTGTCTGTTTCGTTTCTCCTTTGTTCTGTGCTTGCATTGCACTCATGATGCAATCCGCCTGCCATACTTGGGCTCAAGGCTTGTGCATTACTTGTAGCTATCAGAAGATAGGAAATCAAGTGCGCTTTGCTGCTCATACACTTGGTCTTCGACCTCTTCCATTGACATACTTATTTCTGCATCGGAGTAGATCCTCAACCAGGGACCTACGAGGTGTACATTGCTGGGGGTCATTTGGACCCCCTATTTGCCGCCTCAGGGGGTACCATGTATATAGATAAATCTGTACATGTTGTATGGCTGGAAGATTGGAATCAGCACACAACCACAGCTTGCCTCGATGGCCCGATTGGCGTTTGGCAGCAGCACGCCTCGGCTCGCCTGGAGATCCTTTCAAGACAGCTTGACTGCGCCCGACTAGAGAAACACGTGCAGCCAAAGCTGCCGTATCGCTTCTCTGTGGTAGCCCACACCACCTTCCCAGGGCGGAAGGATACAGCAAACCGGCAGGGCCACAGCCAGGCAAATTCACAGTGCACACAATGCACACAATGCGACCAAGCACCATGTTGTCGCTGTCACAGAGCGCTACATGCGTGTTGTTCTTGCTCTTCCGCACGGTGAGGATCTTGCAGTGTCTAACCCAAATGGAACTCGAATCAAATCTGACATGTCACCCATGTCTGTAGGTATGATCTTGGTGGCGCTGAGTTTGAGGGCCCCGCGGCTCCTTTGCTCAACCTGCATGCTTAGTGGGCAGATGTCACGAAACATCTCCTCCGCCTGGATGACTTGGTCGCGGTCTCTTTCTTTTTCTTTACGGCGTGCAGGCAGACTCCTTGGCATGGCCATATTCAGGCGGGCAAAGCGCCACCAATGCACACCAAGCAGCGCTTTCGCAGGGCTGCACATGCTGCCTGTTGCCAAAATTGAGCGGGCTGTTGTGGATCCGGCCAGCGAATTGAGGATCCGGCAAGTGCGATGACTCCGAATCCCAATTGGGTGTTTTGCGCCTTGCAACTTCCATGGCTGTCCGCCTGCTTCAGCCTGCCCCGCCTCTCCCGCGCTTGGAGTACTGGGAGTGCTAGGAGCACAAGCACTAGGAGAACTGCGCCACACCTTTGTGCCTATGCCGCGGGAAAGTCTCTCATCCCACATGCAATCCGACGCCTGCGGGGGCAACAAAGGCTTGGCACAGCGGCAGCCTGACAAAGGTGAAGTGAGGGCACGAAGAAACAGCCCCAGGTGTCCGTATCGACATGACTAAGGTTGTGACACCGCTAAAGCAAGCCACCGCCTGAGAGCGTGGACGTGTGTTGTTGGCACGCCTCCATTTAAGGCTGCTGCATCGCTGCTCCCGACCTTAGGAACCCAGAAACATGTTCTGGTGGCTCCACATGGGAACTTTGAAGCTCGACACGCACCCCTCAGGCCCGCTCCTCTTAGCGGGGACCGCAGGGAGGTCTATACGGCTACGAGCTGCGGGCTGAAGACATGTAAATTGAAACACTTGGCCCTCTCAGCACATATCCACATGCATCCCGGCCATATGCGCTGTACGGAGTGCGGAAAGCATGGCTTTTGGTAGACTCTCCAGAACGCACGATCTGGCCCTTCCGCAAGCTCACTTCTTCTTGTCGGAGCCGACGACTTGCTCAAAGAAATCCATCTTCTTCTGCGCCTGGGCTCGCAGTCAGCTCGCAGCGAAGGCCTGATGGGAAGGCTCGAAGCGGCTCGAAGCGCCTCCTTGTGCGCCCCTGGCGGACGTTGATCGCAGAGGACCATGCTGTGGCGGGTGATCTCCTAAGCCAAGCCGCACTGAACGCCTCAAGTCCAAAGCGGTGCGCGGTCCTCCCGCGGCTCGCGCTTCGGCTTCTCCTCACCCTCCGGCATGATCACCTGACCACCCGGCAGACCCAACGCAACCACAGCCTATCCTTCCAGCCTGGCGCTTGGCCGCTTGGCTCTGAAGGATGAGCCAATGGCAGTTCCAGGCAAATGAGCAGAGCCTCCGATCCTACACTGTCGTAGTTGCGAATGGAAGGCGCATTTTCGCTCAGCGCCTCGGTCGACACCTGTGGAAAGCTATGTACATGGCTCCAGGCATTTGGCCGGTTTTGGCCTAATGGCTGGAGTCAGCTAACCAGGCCACAGCGCTCTCAACCTGATGTGCAGAAGAAAAAAGTATCTTGTGTCACAAATGCCGAGACATGGCCAAAACTAGAGGCCCATTATCAAACCAAGGGAAGAACTGGCCGAGGCAGGGTCACTTGTGCTAGCTTCATTGTGCTAGTTTTGCACAGACTTCTGATTAAAAGGGCGGCCTTCCAATTTTCGATCCTGATGTTTCAGCGAATCGGACAGTCTCTCAAGGCTGTTGCAGGCACGTGGGACTCGTTTGGCTGGGCATTTCTCGGTTCTCGTCTCGTTTCCCAGATCTCACGGTTCGGAGCCTTTCCCGGATCTCTCGGATCTCTCGGATCTCTGGGGCCCCCCGCGGAGGAGCAGCGCGCCGCCGCCGCGCTCGCCGCGTCGGCGGCGAAGCCCAGCTCCACAAGCTGCGGCACCAGGCCTCCCCGAGTCAGAAATCGCGAATCTCAAAAGATGTGAAAGTGAGTCTCAGTTCACAAATCTGATATTCCATCTCAGGATCCTGAACTGGAAAAGTGCAGCGTTGGGACGAAGTGCATTTTTGGGACAATGTGCATTTTTTCATTTGTGGGGGTTGCCACCAAAAGGCGCGTGCGTTGTGGCACCTTCATTTGGACTCTGTTTGCATTCTCCATGAAATGTGCGAGAAACATGAACTACACACATGAACAGACTACTTTGGCTTCCGGGTCGTGTTGTTTATGTTGGGCTTCTGTCTCAACTTATGTTGTATAAGGCGAAAACCTTCTGCGAAGCAAGCCTTCCGCAAACCTTCGCAATCCCTCCGCGACTGCAGGCCCGCGAACAGTTTGCATGAATTGGTAAAATGACCGGGTGAAAAAAACAAGAGAATATCAACTGTTCATCCAAAGCCCTTTCGCAATCAATCATTCAACCCTCCAAGTCGCCAAGTCTCTAAGCCTCCAACCGTCTCATTGAGACAGAAGGGCTTGAGTTTTTGGGGAACTCGTTTTCAGAGTCCAACCTCGGTGGCAGAGCTCCCCCAGCGCAGAGCCCTGGCGCAGTCGCGCCCAGACCGCCGCGCCCGCCGCCGCCGCTGCGGCCTGGAAGGCACAAAACAAGGAAAGAAAAGCGCGGAAAGAATAGCAAAGAAACAAAAAGGAGCGGAGAAGAGTAGAAAAAGAACAAAACGACAAAAAGGACATTTGGCCCCAAAGCAGTATTTCCTACGATTTGTGGCCAATCTGCTAAACGCCGAGCGTGGCACGGTCTCTCTCTCACCCTCTGCCCAAGTGCTCTACGCAAGATCCTCTGGCGCAAATCGCTCGGCGCTGGTGCAGGTGGTGCTTTGGGGTGCTGTTTGGGGTGCTGTTTGAGGGGCTGGCGACGGTGCGGCGTTTTCGGTGCTGTTTGGTTGGTGCTGGTGAAGGTGCGGCATTTTCGAGATTGATGCTTTGGGGGTGTTGTTTGGGAGCGTCGGCATGGGTGCATTTTTGCGAAGGGGGCACGCAGTTTGGTGGGTGATGACGCTGTTTTGGGATGCTGTGGTGCTGTTTGAGGCGCGGGCGCGTTTTTGTAAGTTTGACAAAGGGTGCAAGGTGGCATGCAGTTTGGGGCGCTGGCGCAGGTGGTGTCTTGGGACACTTTGGCGGTGTTTGGGTTTGCGCGGGGTTATTTTTGCCAGATTGACGGTAGGCAATGCTGTTTGAGGCGCTGGTGACGGTGCTGCGTTCCTTTGGGGGCTGTTTGGGGGACTGCGCAAGCGCCTTTGCAGTTTGGGGCGTGCCCTGAATATCGTGCCGAATATCGTGCCCAGTCTATACCAAAACTGTTCGCCTCTGTGCAAATGGCGCGCAAGTCGCGCGCAGTCCAAGGGCTCCGCACAAAACTCGCGATGCTTTCAAAGGAGAAGGCCTCCACCGCGGACTCTGCATCCAGCGTGTTGCGTCGTCGCTCCGGCGGTCTCAGCTTCTTGGAAAGTGAGGAGTCCAGCGCCGCCGATCGGGTCGTGTCCTTTTTGCCGGACAAACATCGATGCAATAGATGCACTCTTGCCATTGCAACCATTCGATGATTTTCGCCTCTTGCAGGGTCCACTCCATGGCGGCTTCCGCGGAAGCGAACTGCTTTGCAGCCTCCTCCGCCACCTCCTGCGCGCATCTGCACATACGGCTCCAACAAGCACGCACGCACACCTTGCTGAAGCCCATGGCCACGAGCTGGGACGCCACCTGCAAGTGAAAACGATGTCAACTTGCTCAAACTCAAAAAAACAAGAACACTTTCAAGTACTTTTTCTCACTTCAACCACCAACCCGAACCCGTGACCCGCCTCCCCCGGTGCAGGTCGCGAGCGCACGGACGGCGCCGGGGCCGGCGCACCTCTTGCTTTCGCCGGCTGAGGCACCGGCTGAGGCGCCGGCGGCACGGGGTCCTACGTAAGGTGCGAAGCACCAAGGTTCAGGGCTTTGCGGCTTTGCGTTTTGCAGGCGCTTGCCTTGTGTTCACTGGAGCCTTTTCTGCATCTGTCGGCTATGTACAGGTGAGGCAAAGCAGCTCATTCGCGCTTTGGTGCCTGCAAATACAAGCGCACACCGAGCAACGTCCAAACAAGCAACAGCTCAGCCGACCGATTTCTTCCGCTCAAAGCTGCCTGCCTGCTCGCTTTCCTGGCAATGTTTTTTAACAAAACAGGTCCCACCTTGGCTCTGATTGCATCCCGCCTCAGACTTCTGCTTCATGCGCTCGATGTCAAACTTCACCCCTCGGAACATTCGCTCCTCCGGTCATGCGCGCCCATGGAGTGTTTGCGATGCCCCACCCATCGGGGCTGGTCACGCGAAGAGCTTGATGCTTTCAGAGCCCATGAACGTCCTTGTCGATACTTCTGCTCATGAGAGCATAGCTTGCAGTTCCGATGGTGGCCAAAGATGCCAGCCCAAAAAGCAACTTCGGCAAGTTGATCTTTCGCGGCGGCCGGATCATGGCAGGAGGGCCCGGATCTATGCGCAACTTGCTGTGTAGTCCCGCTACTCGCGGCGCTTGCTGCATGTCACATGTCCCTCATGCGCGCTCGGCAAAGCCAAGAGCTAACGGAGCAGTCGTCTGTGGCTATGGCGAGATCTGGATGGCGACCGCAGACGGAGAAGCTGTCCTCCACCTCCACCACTGGCTTTGACACCAGCATCGGGCTGGGCATGGCTGGCCTCAGACTCCTGCCTCTCAGGCTGGTTGCCCAAGGTTTTCCAAGTCTCGGACAGCTTGTCTTTCAAACGCTTTGCCAAGAAATCTGCGCCTTCCTGCACTGGTGTCCAAAAACCAATGTGCATCTCTGCATCTCTCGAGTCCTCCAAAAACCACTTTGGGCCTCACGCCACAACCCTCATTCCCCCGCATCCCCGCCATCCGCATCCGCATAGCCCAATCTCTCCCAGGCCCCGGCGCAGTCCGTTGTGCCCGCCCTCAAAGGTCACAAGCTTCCTCGGAATCTCGCGAGAGGGGATTCGGGATTGGATTGCTGGCCTTTCACAGCCCCAAGCGCTGTGAAGGTCGAAGGTGTGGTGGGGCAAAATGAAATCCTGGCCGAAGTCCGAACCAAGTCCGAAGGTTTTTTCCAAGTCCGAACCTGTGCGCTCCCAAGTTCTCCCGTGCGCTCATGGCGCTAACCGCGCAGGCGTTGCGTCATCCTTGGCCGTGGCGAAGAGCGCCGGCGCCCGCGCCCGCGACGCGCTGCGGATGGGCTGTAGGTCCTGATACGAAAAAATCAGGCGACAGCCTCGTACCCCTTTGTAGTTGCAGTAATTGATTGTATCAATTTCATGATCAGAATGGAAACGGGAGGCAACAGAAACATGCGGTAGCGAGACAATGCAATGTAAATGTGTGTGTCTTTGATCCAGAGGTCATGGTCATAGCGGTCGCCTGAAGCCCAATGGATGGATCCCGAGGCCCATGGCTTGAAACTGATTTGAGCTCCTGGATGTCGAAATTGGCGCGGTCCAAGATCTCCTGCCGTACTCGTCCGAGCGCCAAGTTCCTGAGACGCTTTTTGAGCGCCAAAACGCCGGACGATCTCAGGGCTGGGCATCATAAACTCGGGGATGGAGATCTGACCTAAGCCAAGCTACATTAAACTACGTAAAGCAAAGCTGAGCACTTCATGTCATGCACAGCTTGCAGAGGCGCTGTTTACCAACTCCTGCGCCACCAGGGGGAGGCTGCCTTTGCAGATGCAGCAGTATCAGTGTGGCTCAGGACTTGAGGTTTCTGGCTGAAAGGAGAATCCAAGACGACAGCGCTGATGCTCCAGTCCTCAAAGAGCTCAAATCCGAGAATTTTGCACTCAAGCTCAATAGCTCACTCGCTCCTCAGCTGCTCGGAGGATTGAAGTCGCAGCACCCATGGACCTGGTGCTCTGTCGGCCGACTCCCCTGTGACCCATACGTCTGGCCTGCCCCACAAGCCCAGCTGCGCCACGCCCGAGGACCGAAGGAACTGGATGAGAACCTGCGAGGCCGAAATTAGGCCCAAAGCCGGAAGCGCGGAAGCGCGGAAGCGCGACGGAGCCCCACGTTTGCAAGACTGGCCGGAATCCTATCAGATTGATCGAGAGGTCGGCAACAAGATGCTAGGTGCCGAATGCCCCGGAAAATCACAACTGAACAAGCTGCCACGCGCACCAACACACTCACATAAGTATAATGTATTATATATGTATATATATAATGTACACGTGAATATAGCGAAGCCTCAAATTCAATGAGAGAACAACTCAAAATTATATCTGATATATACATTACGACAGGGCTGACTGGCTCTAGTCGCTGACTTGAAATCTCTGCAGCAGCGCCATGCACGCTGCCAAAAGGAGCCGGCAAGTGGAGGAAAATAAATTCCCTGCGGTCCCCCTCACGGCCAAACTCAGCCTTTTGTGAGGCCGCTGCTGTTGGTACCATCCAAGCACCAAATCAAAGCAAGCAATCAAGCAAGCACAAGACACGCAAGCGAACACACAGAGCAAAGCGAAGCGGCTTGGAGCGGAGCACCTTGAGGTCCAACTGCTCGAAGTGGCCCAGCGAGATGAACTCTCCCTCGCTGTGCCCTGACCTCCGGTCTGATCGATCGGAGTTGCGACGCTTTGCTTCCGCTTCTTGCACGCGTTTGTCCCGCTCTCAAGTCGCACCCGGAGAGGTCCAGCGAGCAAAGCATCAAGTTCTTGGCCAGGACCACCTGGCTTCGGGGGAAAGGTGGGCAAAGGAGCAAGTTGCAAACGAAGCCCAGGGAGCACAAATTGGGGCAGCCTGCAGCACATCCATGGCTTCTACGCGCGATGAGCAGTTGCCGTGCAAGTAGATGACGCACCTCGAGATCTTCGGCCCATCGCCTTTGCGTTTCGAAGCCATCACACCTAGGCCTTCCAAGGCTGCGGCGGCGCGCCGCCCTGCTTGGGGAAGGTACCTCGGCTCGCATAAAGCACACACTTGACAAAGGCTTGGGATGCTCTAGGCTGGCCGCGGTAGAGGCTGCAAACTAGCAACATGCCGCGATCATTCTTCAACTGGAAGTCCTTCCGCAGTTCTTCAAATTCTTCTGGCTCAACGGCTCAACTCTCTCAGCTCTCCTCTCGGGTGTAGACCTGCGAGCCTATCCGGAACTTCGGGGGGCCAAGCTCTGACAGCTTGTACTGGGACCTTCCAGCGAGCAAAAGTCTGCAACTAATGATAAATTAACATGAGAAAAACAAAAAAGAAAAACTCGGAAAAACCAAGAACATGAGAATCAACGAACGCCTGGGTGGTCGGATGATCATCTTCCAAAGCATGTCATAGGCTTCCAACAGCGAGCTCCAGGAGACTTTGTCCATGGGGCACAGCCGCACGACCGCGCAATTCGCACGTCTCTCATGACGTGAACTGAGCCAAAAAAGGAGCTCGATCACCAACTCAACCTTTAACGAGATCGATCGGCCGATCGGCTCCTTTTCACATTTTGAAACGGCGCCTGGGCCAGGCCTTGAAAAACGGGCGGTCTCTCGACTTAGCCTGTCAGGGACAAAGTCTTGCCTCACTCCTTTCATTCAAAGCGCCCGGCAAAAATCGCGATCAAGGGCAAGGCCAGAACTATCACCCCCAGAAACGAGGCATCGAACTCTACGGCCGGCATCTCCTCTTCCTGACTTGAGAGAAAGCTGTTCCCCATCAAAATGTGAAACTAAAGTCGCCCGGGCTTTAGGGGTCTCTGTTTGGCAAGAAAATGTGGAAGCCGCCTTCTGACAAGCCGCTGTCTCCGCGACCGAGCCCACCTTCACGTCTGTGCCTGTGTCGTCACGGGCCGCGTGCAGCTGCACGCGCGGCGGCGACTTCACACGCGGCGAGTGCCTTGAGAATTGCACTATGCTAATACGATCCAATACGATCCAATACGATCCAATCTGCTCCACGCATTGCTACGGAGCCAAGGTGCACATACTGAAAACACTGCGAAAGCACGAAAGCCGCAAGAAGCAATGGCCAGGTTCTGCTTGCTCTCATGGCGCCGCGTGGCAAAGAGCTTCACGGTCCGCTTCTCGTTGTCCAATCGTGTGCTTCAATTCGCTGTAATGCGCTTTGGTACTTTCATGGTTTTTGTCACGCGTCGGAGGTGAAGCTCAAATGAGAGGTTCGCAGCGCAAGTCGAGGATCTTGGGAGGAATGATCAGCCTGTTCTGCGGTCAGTGCAGCTTGAAACCAATTGGGGGTTGTCCGAACGTCCGCAAGCGCTCAACTTTTTGCATCCTGATGCATGGGTTGGCAGCTTTGGCCCCAGAAACTGCATCAGAGTTTGTCGCTCCCCGACATCCTGGCCAAAAAAACCGCTTGGACTTGACATGAACTGGAGCGAATCACGATTTTGGGTTAACATCAACCTACCACCTTGAACAACTTCCCCCTGCTCCTCTCCCTTCTCTCTCTCTCACTCTCTCTCGAGCCAGCCCCTTCGAGTTCAGCACACGTCCCCTCCACTTTCTCCGCCTTCTCCAATTTCCCGGCTTCTGCCTTCCCCGCTTTCCACTCTGTCCTCTCCGGGCCGGCAAGCTGCCGTACCACCGGAGTCCACCGGCGCATGAAGTCCGCCTCATCGGTGCGCATCAGCGTGCCCTGGCCGCCCCAAATCACCTGCGAGGAACTTGGACAAACTCTCTGGACATCTCTAGGCCCGAAGGCCCGAAGGCATGGGTGCAATGCGCAAAGACCCGCATAGCGCCGGCATTTTCCCTCGCGCCGAATTGCAGCCTTCCCCGCTTTCCACTCTGTCCTCTCCGGGCCGGCAAGCTGCCGTACCACCGGAGTCCACCGGCGCATGAAGTCCGCCTCATCGGTGCGCATCAGCGTGCCCTGGCCGCCCCAAATCACCTGCGAGGAACTTGGACAAACTCTCTGGACATCTCTAGGCCCGAAGGCCCGAAGGCATGGGTGCAATGCGCAAAGACCCGCATAGCGCCGGCATTTTCCCTCGCGCCGAATTGCAGCCAGTTTTCAGCCGCCCAGGCGAAAGCTTTGGAGGATGGCCTGCACGGGTCAGAGCAAGGCAATCCCGTCCAGCGTCCAACCATCCCAGCGTCCTCCATCTGGGGCCCCATGTCCTTCACCAAATCCTGGCCAAACTGGAAGGATTCAGTGGGAGAAAGAGGAGAGCGATTGCTCGAATCCGTGGAATTCCCGCCTCATTCAGCTCCATATCCATTATTGCCTTGCGGCCCTCGGGCTCCTTCAGCACCCGCCACCAGCGATGCTTCAACATCAGACTTCCATCCTCCTCGGAATGCGCTGGCTGGAAATTCGAGACTCGGGAAAGCTTCTTTCGGCCCGGCCTGCGGTTCTTTGACCTGACTCGCTCTCTCTCTCTCTCTCTCTCTCTCTCTCTCTCTCTCTCTCTCTCTCTCTCTCTCTCTCTCTCTCTTTCGTTAAAATACGTTGGTACTTTACTGCAAGTGCAAGTGTTGTTTCTGTTGTCAAAAACACAAATGTAGTTAGCCAGCATGCACTCTTTTCCTGGTAGACTCAAGGCCTGCAGTCGGGTAGTGTACATCATGCATGCACAAGTGACAAGTAGTGCAACATGATATTTGACACGGCCCCTTGGTTAAAAGACCTTGTAGTGCCCTTTAACCATAGACCCAAAAGGTGGTATTGACAGTAGTGGCAAAAACGAATGCACATGTTGTTTGCCGATGCTACTGTAGCGAACAGGCATGTAGTCTCTTAAAAAGATGACCGAAGGTAGGTATCCACAGCGCTGCTGTCTGTAGTTCAACTAACCTTCAAATGATCAAAAAGTGAAAGCTGCACAAGAACCCTAAATGGCTCTCAGTCATCTCGTAGTACGATGACGTAGTACAGCACGTATTTCCAGCTCCACCTAGAGATCAGGTGTGCTTAGTCCAGTGTTGGACTCGGTAGTTCTGGACTTGGCTGATGCGGTAGTCCAAGCCTGCGTAGTGGTTGGTAGTGAATGTGTTGAGGAAGTCTGGACCGCCACGGAGGCGGTTGTAGTCGCATTCTGGTGGTGCAAGTGCTTGGCCGGTTGTAGTGAGGTAGATTTGTAGCCGTGAGGAGGGTGATGCCGTAGTAGGTGACACTTTTGTGTAGCATCGTGTTGATGGACTTGTAGTGGTGGTCTTGAAGTTGTTGCGGTTGGTCGAAGTAGTTGAGTAGTTCTGGTAGGTACAGGGGCATGTGGTAGTTCCAAATCAAGTTGTTGGACAGGTTGAATGTAGTGGTGATCTGGTCCAAGTTGTAGGTGATTCGGTGTAGTCGTTGATGTAGCTGGCGTGTAGGTAGGTGGTGCTCGTCTTTGATTGAGATCATGTGGCTCACGTAGTCGCGGCAGAAGTTGATGAGTTGTCCAGCACTGACAAATCGTAGTAGAACTTCTGGTGGAATGTGTAGTTGGATGATGACCATCGAGTTGGTGTACTGAGTTGTAAGGTGTAGTGATGTTAGGTTGTAGTAGTAGAAGTTGACTGCCTCTGAAAGACGTAGGTGAAGAGGTAGTGAGTCGTAGTGTGGCATCCGTAGGTCTGAAGGTAGGTCGTGAACTGGTAGGTTGTAGTTGAGCTCGGGGATGGGTGTAGTTTGTTGTCGACTTAGTAGTTGGAACTCCTCGAGCGTCAAAGCCACGTAGACCCTGAAGTAGTTCTGCTCCGGGTCGATCGCTGGAGGGTCAGGGATGTTGTTCTCAATTGTAGTGAGGTGTGCCAAGATGTCGTCGGGTCTGTAGAAAGGTGCCGGTGTGGGTAGTTGGTGATTGAAGTTGTAGTTGAGGGAGTTGTAGGCCTCAGGTGGTGGTGTGGCCAAAGAAGCCATGCTGCTGGAGTCGGTAGTGCCCTGCCGATCCGGTGGTGTGAAAACACGGTCCGGTGTAGTACTGCCAGCCTGTTGTTCGACGGGCAGAGTAGTCTCTGGCGCTGATGTAGTGACCTCCATCGGCATGACATCCTGCGTAGTCGCATCCATGGGCGTAGTGCTGGTAGTTCGGCCTATCGAGATGCAGTGAAACGGGGCAGACAGTAGTGAGCCAATGTTAGCTCACAAAAGCACATGCGGGCATGTAGTAAAACACAAAACAACATGTAGTGTTGACTCAAGCCGCCAAAAGCCGCCAAAAGTGCAAGTGCAAATTACTGGTGGTTACAATTACTATTACTTGTAGTCACTGTTACTGTTACTGTTACTTAAATGCAGGTAGTTACATATGGCCATATACAAACTGTTGTGGTTGATGTGCAACAGTTGTGAAACAGTTGTTGTTCGTAGTGCTAAACACGTATGCCAATGCTATGTATGAGCCTCTGTAGTGTTTCTTTGCTAATGTATTTTGTGAACAAGTCTGAGCTGTTGTGTAGTGTGTTGATTTTGAGGATTCTGATGATGTCGTGCTTGATGAGGTCTTGTGTGTAGAGAAATTTAAGGTCGATGTGTTTTGCTCGTTTGCTAGTGCCTTGTCGTGTAGCAATGCTCTTGCCTGCTGTGGAGTCTGTGTGGATGCGTAGATTTAGCTTGCTGCAAATGTTGGTTTCAAGTAGGAAGTTTCCGAGGTGTAGTCCCTCATTAACTCCTGTGCAAATGGCGTAGAGTTCAGACTCTGCTGAGCTGAGTGCTATTGTAGCTTGTGTTCTGCTGCCAAATGCAAGTGTTGTTCCTAAAAAGATGATGTTGAAACCTGAACTTGATTGCCTGGTAGTAGGGCATCCTGCCCAGTCGGCATCGACATGAACGTCGAGATCCAGGATGTTGTTGGTGTTTGCTCTGAGTGTTGTTGTTGGTTCTATGGTGAATTTGTAGTGCTTGGTGCCGTGCAAGTAGCGTAGTAGATGTTTGACTCTCTTTTGTGAAAGTTCTGTAGGTGCTGTGAGGTCTCGTGCGAGTTCTTTTGTGGAGTATGCAATGTCTGGTCGTGTGTATGCTAACCATTGAAGTTTGCCAACAATCCTTCTGTACCTTTTGTGTTGTTCGTGGTCAAGTAGTGCTTCATCTGCTATTGTTGGTTTGTAGTGTGCAATTCCTGGAGTGTTCACTGAGTTGCAGTTGTTCATTCCAGACTCCTCGATCATGTTGTCGATGTAGGAGTCCTTTAGTCCCAGGTTGCAGTAGTTGCCAAAGTGGTCGATGTTTCTTCCAAGAAATTGTTGTGGTTTGCCAGGTTCGAGGTAGCCGATGCGCTTAAATAGGACCTGCTTCTGGATGGCCTCGAAGGTGGAGTCGACAGTAGTCTTGTCACCAAGTACCAAGAGATCATCCACGTAGACCATGATGTAGCAGTCGCGAGTCGCGTTGGTGTAGACGTTAGGTTCTGACTTTAGTCTTACAAAGCTGAGTTTTTGTAACACTTCAGCCAGGTAGTCCTGCCATGCTTTTGGTGAACTGCGTAGTCCATACATGGCTTTCTTTAGTCGCCAGATTTTGTCCTGTTGTGGACAAAGTTCTATAGGTGGCCAAAGGTAGACGTCACGTTGTTTACCGTCGTGGTCTTTTGCGATGGGTGCGTGTAGAAATGCTGTAGAGACGTCACCTAGTCGCGCGATCCAGTTTGGTCGTGACATTTGTAGTGCGAGAAGTGTCCGGAGTGTCGTGAACATTGGTGTAGAGGCGTAGATGGAGTCTTCGTCCTCGATCTTCTCTGTGTAGCCTTTTGCGACGATTCGACTTCGCACTCCTGGTCCTTTCTTCCTGTGTACCCATCTAGTAGGTATCGCTTCTCTTATGACGTTGTCGTCGACGGTAGACGCATCTACTTCGTCGTAGACGTCATGTAGCTTCATTTGATTTGACTCGTGTTTCATTCCTTCCAGTAGTTGTGTTCCGTCGTAACCTTCGTTGTCGAAGATTATGGGTTGGTCTTCTGAGGTGTCGTCGTTTGTGTAGGGTGTGATGAATTTGCCGTTGGGAAGTATTTTCTGTCGTAGTGGTGGTGGTTCTTTGGTTGCTTGCTCCGTTGATCTGATTGTAGTGTCCTTTGAGGTCTTCTGTGCTTTAGTGGGTTGCATTACTCCTTCCGGAGTTAAACGTCGTAGTGTTTGTCGAGGTGGTGCTGGTAGTGGTGGATGTTGTCGTCCGGTTGGTGAAGTAGCCATCGGACTATCCGGTAGTGGTCGTGAACTTGACGTCGATGTTGACGGAAGTCGTGGAGGTGGTGTGGTGCGTGGTTGTTTTGTTGCGGGTTCCGCAACGATGTCGTCCGTAGCGTTCGTTTGTTGTCCGAAATCTTGCGTGGACCTTCTTTTCTCTGACGGTGGTAGTTGCGCATCCAACAGTGTTG